TTTGCTCAGCATGGTTTCTTTGCGTCATGCTGTTGTTGTCCAGGCCACATGATGAGGAAAGCATGACAGACTTTTAGTCTAAAAATGCCTCTGAGAAGGGTGTGGACAGGTGGGAAGGAGAGCAATACAGTGTAGTGGCACTTAACCTTTAGATTTTGTCCCTGTGCCTCATGGGGTACAGAGGGATTGGGGCACTGGTACTGCAGCACCAGTGCTGACAGCGCTCTGGTAGCCAGGAAGCAGCAAGAGGTCAGACAAGGCTGTGAGGGGTGTGAAAGAACACTGTGGCATGTTACAGCAGTGGCTTGTGGTCTTTAATTGCAGCTTTTCAGCTTATTACAGTGTAGTGGGGAGGATTTGTGGTCCCTGGTGACAGTCACAGTAGAAGCAGTGGGACCCTTCCAAAGAGGGGCCTGTTACATCAGTGCCTGTAATCCCAACAGGAGCAGTGCCATGACCTTCTTGCTCCTTTTGCTCTCCCATAGTAAATGTCATCATGGGAGTGATGAAAGAAATACAATCATCACAAATGTCTGAGGCCAGATTCTCATCCCTCTGGGATTTCCATGAAGCCTACCCTGTAATACTTCCCCCCCATCAAAGCGAAGCAGTTTGCACAATCACATTTTGTGTCTTCCTATGGTGGGAATTGGGATTTCAGCACCCAAGTCCCCTGTAATAATTTCAGCTGAAAATAATAGGTGGAACTAAGTGACAATGCTTAAAGCATAAGAAATCTGTCACCTGTGGTAGTTAATCCATGTCAGCCATGATGTCATACTGTGCTTTTGAGCACCAACGCCTCCCAAGTCAGGGTCAACGCATCATCCCACTAATCCATAAAATACTGCTACAGATCTAGTGGAAATACCACATCTGAGGAGATAATGCACAGGCTTCTCTGAAATACCCTGGCTTGTTTAAATAGATGTATTCAGGCATGGATTGCGTAAATACAGACTCAGGAATTTCTTTGACCCGGGGCTATAAAATATATTACCAAGAACTCAGCACCTTGAATCTGATTAGACATGTAATTATATTGTTATCCAAACTAATTTCATGTCTGCATTTAATTTGAACTACTGCACTTCTCAAAATTATAGCAAGTCACTAGATTTTCATCAAGATATGAATTTGCTATTATTAGAAGTACCAGAAAACTCACAGTGCCTGCAGATCAATTCTTCCAGTACAGTTGTCTGTACAAAGCTTTAGTTCCAACATAAAAGCTACTTTAACACCAATTAATTACTATATTGTAATATATATTGCAAGTATTATACATTCGTAATACAATAGTTATTAATGTATTCCATTCGTAATACAATAGTGCAATAATATCAGAGATGTATTAGATTCTCACGAATACTTCTCTGATATTATATATATTCTCTTCATAAGCAAAACACTCTATTGGAAAATATTTCATCTCCTGTCTAAAAATACTTCGCCTATTTTGTTTTTTTATTTTTAATTTTGAAGGGTTGTGTTGAATCTATAAGAAGAAATAAACGTTAGCAACGTTAGTGCATCATAGCATTAATTCCGTGACTCATCGGGAAAGTTCACCCGCAGGCAAAATAAAGACAAGACAGGCGGTAGAGCGGCAGGAAGGGCACGGGCGAGAGCTTTGGGACACGACCGGAGGGGACAGGGAAGGAGGGGACAGGGAAAGAGGGGACAAGGAAGGAAGGAACAGGGAAGGAGGGAACCGGGAAGGAGGGAACAGGGAAGGGAACCTGCGGGAGCCGCCCCCGCCCCGCCTGGCGCGGAGCCGCGGCGCCCCCGCGTGGGCAGCACGGGCACTGCAGCACTGCCCGGGGAACCGGCAGCGACCGCACCGAGAGAGAAAGCGAGAGAGGGAAACTCGTGTGCGTAAAGTGTAACAGGCTGCAGCCCGGGAGAACGTTCTAACAAGAACATTCTTCGTAAATGGAATTGAAATTCAAGGAGAATCTATTCCTCCAGGTCGTGTTGTTGCATCGTTTACTTCTTCACTGAGTTCCAACATAGTTTTAATAATGGCCTTGCCATCTTCTTCAAAGGCAAAGTAGGTCATGGAAATATAGAATGGTTTGGGTTGGAAGGGGCCTTAGTCATTAGTTCCAGCACCCCTGCCCTGGGCAGGAACACCTTCCACAAGACCAGTTTGCTCCAAGCCACAAACGCTTCCAGGGATGGTGCAGCCACAGCTTATCTGAACAACATGTTTCAGTGTCTCACCACCCTCACAATAAAGAACTTCCTCCTAACATCTAATCTAAAAATCTTCTCTTTTAGTTTAAAACCTCTCCCCCTTGTCCTATCACTATCTGTCCATACAAAGAATCATTCTCCATCTTTTTTTTATACTCTCTCTTTAGGTACTGAAAGGCCAACTCGTATTCAGAGATGAACTTGTAAACATAATGGCCCATGTAATTTTTGCACTTTTCATTTCACAGATAGACAAATGCCCAAATTTTCAATGAATTTCCATGATATCTGGTACCCAGTTCAATGTGCTGCTAAGAAGAGAGTTTCAGCAAGTAGAAGAAAGCAGAAAAAATATTCAGGAACAAATCTCTGGGAAGAAGAGAGAAGGGATATGAGCAGGGAGGGTGATGTACACAAAAATATATCCCAATGCTAGCAGAGAACTGCTGGTAGAATCTTCTCTTGGGTCTCAACTGAAACACAAACTGACTAGGAGTAACATTACACTGTCACATAAAAATTTTCATTTTTAAAAATAGTAGTGAAAGGAACAAAAGAACGAGCAAAGATGACCCTTCTACGCTATATTGCTTTACCATAACAGTATAGGTCTAGAGGGCAGATCTTTTCACAAATGGCAGCAGAATGGAGGTGGTAACATTAAACCATGTACAAACTGCACAGAGGACTCCAAACTAGCTATCCTTAGAGTAGAAGAGAATTATGACTTGGTTTTAAGTATTTTCCAGAGATCAGTTTTCCTTGTCATTTGTTAAGATACCAGCTTGATTAAAACAGAAACAGTAAAGCTGTGCCTAGATAAGTCTCTAGTTAGACAAAGATATCTTATTCTTAGTATATCCACACACATGTAAATACATATATCCTGGTCCATGACTGAATGGGAAACCATTACATGTCATTCCAACACACTTAAAGAACTGTGGCTGGGAAGTCACAGCTGAATGATTTTGGCTAATCACCAAGTGAGTAATGTCAAACACTGAATGTCTTGACAGTTTCCATTCAAACAACATTTCATCTTGGGCCAATAGTATTTACAAACCACTGGAATGAAATCCCATACTGTCATTTATCCATTAGTAAGAGACAGCATTACAGCTGGGTAAAATGCAGACTTACCTCTGCATGGAAGTCTCCCAGTTCTCCCAGTGGTGGTAGCTCTTTCTGAGCCTTCCACACCAGTTCTGCAGGTCTCCCCTGCTCACCTCTGGGCATCTTAGAGGGCATTTACAAATTCAGAGAGGGATTCAGCGGGTATGTGGGTGTATATTCAGGTAATCTCTAACTGGTTCCCTGAAGTTTAAGGCGTCCTTTTACATTTAAAGTTTTACTGTTCCAGTAACAACAAATGATAAAGTCAGATATTGGTCACTATTTAACGTGTGTATCCAAACTTTCCCCTTCTCTCCAGTCCTAGGCAGTGGTGGTAAAGAATGGAGAAGGTGTAAAATATTCCCATAGAGCTACACAACAAGAAGAGCATATTTTCACATCTTGATCTTGCTCCTGTCTTTCTGCATTCTCTTCACCTCCTCTGAATCTCTATTCCTTTATCTGACCTGCACCCTGAACCTCCTTGGATGGTTATCTGTTCTCAGAACAAAGCCACTTCCCCTGCAGCTACTCCCTTATTGTGACATACTCCTACAGAGCTCAGTGAGGCATCAAAAACCACTGACTTTGAGGCAGGAATGGGCAAAATTGATAAAAATTTAGCACCCTCAACAGCAAGAGCTACTGCCAGGTTTGTGGAACTCCCCCCACACTGGTGTAGGAAAGCCTGGATTATCTCTGCTAAAGTTTAAAAAAAAAAAATATTCTCTCTGTAACAAAGAAGGCCAGATTACTAGTATCATTATTGAGATACCATGAAAGAGAGTTTAGCCAAGATGTTTTTCAATACTTGTCCAGAAATTTCTCCATGTAAGAAGGCATAGGGGTCAGTATGACATTCTATCAGGAAAGTCTCCAGAGAAGTTGCCTTTGAAGATATCATTGAGATCCATCTAACTGCAGGTGAATTTCAGCTGCATAGCTCAGTAGTTCCACACAGACAAAAATCTAATCTGCTTTAGGCTCGTGTGGACTTACAAGTTCAAGCCAATGTGATTCCTGCACTGGTTTGTAAAGAATCATAGAATCACAGAAATGTTTTGGTTGGAAGGGATCTTTGAAGATCACCTCTGCCATGGGTATTGGCATCTTTCACTAGATCAGGTTGCTCAGAGCCCAATCCAGCCTGACCTTGAACAGATCCAGTGATGAGGCATCCACAGCTTCTGTGGGCAGCCTGTTCCAGTGCTGCACCACACTCAGCATAAAAAATTTCTTCCTCACGTGCAACCATAAATGTACTCTATTATATCATCTCCACAGCCAATATACAAAGTTTTAATGTTCCTAAGGGGACAGGATCCTTTATGGGAGAGGTCTGTAGCAGCAACAAATTCCTCAACATCTCAACCTGATTTAAAGCAATAAAGTATTTGAATACCTAATTATGTGACAATGGTCTAGAGTTTGAATTGAGACACATTTTAGCCTGAAGACCATCACACACCTGTGCTGGAGCAGACACTCTGCAATGGGATTCATGTTGCTATACCAAGAATCCCCTGGGATGTGGGTGTGGTGATCAGACATTTCCAAATACTAGTGTCCAGCTCCTAATGGGAGCTGCTAAACCAGGGCCGGTTTCATGGGTCATGGCAAAGTGACGGACTCAGAAATTTCAATAGTCTGAGCAAATCTTCTAATGGGCCATATTTTCTTTTCAGGGAAAAAAAATAAGGAGGAAAAAAGGAAAAAATCCAACAAAGATGAAAGCAAGGAGACAAGACAGGAAGGCAAAGGGCGAGCAGCCCGAAGACAAAACCGAGAACAGAGGGAAAGCAACAACAAAACGCAGCCGAAGAAAAGGAAAGCCCCAAGCAAAGAACAGGACCTGGCACCAGCTGACACTGCACATTAATGGTCCTCCATGATTGTTTAAGTCTTATGATGCTGCTATCTCTTCCAGATCGCCCTGACAGGTGTTCCAACCATTCAGGCCGCAAATGGACAATGCTACCAGTTATTATTAAACTTTAAACAACATTCCAAATACTTCCTATATTCTCCAAGCAACCATAGTTTATTAAAGAGATTGACATGAGCCAAGGAAAAAAAAATCTAAAGATGGGATCCTTTAAAACTTGTTATATTATATGCTTCCATGCATCTGTAAAAGGCAATTAAGAAATTTTGTATATAATAATAATAGGGTATAAAATATAGCAATATAATAATGAATGACTTTCAGATGAACAATGTTCTTTTTCTTTGTAAAATATTTTTCAAGTTATTGTTTAAGTATGAGGCAAGAGATATGTCTAAATCAAAGATGAAAATCGTATCCCTTCATATATTGTACATAATTAAGAGAAGGAGGAAAACATTTCTGAAGAGCCAGTAGGAGCCCAAGGTTTTACAACCTCTGGTGGAGCAGGATGGGATTGCCCTGTTTTCCTGGTCCATGCTCCAGACATGGGTGAGAAACATCAGGAGAAAGCCAGCAGGGCTTCAGCTGCTGAGGGATAAGAAGCAGAAGCATCTGCAGCTTTGAAGACTGAATCCCTGAGGCAGAAGGAAACTGAGCTGAGCTTGAATAACGCTCTTATCTGTGGACAACACAATGTTTTCTGGTCTAAACAGTGGTACCGTGTGCTGTTTTATGCTTTTTATACCTATGTGTAACTTAAGTCTACATTTCAAATCTTCTGGTGAATGACAAATCGTATTTGTAGGAGACAACGTTGAGTTAATAAAACCCAGAAAAGTAGATCATGTAAGTATGTGTTTTTCACAGTGTTGGTGTCTTTTTCTGCTGGGGAAGGGAATAATTTCATAGCTTCACAGACTGAAGAGGACACAACTTACACCCACACTGTGCATCTAGCAAAAGAGTATCCACGAAAATAAATTTACCAACGTATACAAATTACAAACTTCTGTCCAATTTTACTTAAATTCCTATTCTTGTTCTTCTCTCTGACACAGCAGAAGTGAAAGTCTCCATTGCTCAGTGGACAAACCAAATCCTGTGGTACCATTCAGGTTTGTTAGAGGCTAGAGCAGCCCACCAGTGAAACACAGGTTATGCTACACACTGATTGCTGCCCAGAAATGGACTTACCCTTTCCAGAAACATGTTGAGGAACCAACATACCTCACAATTTGTGTTCTGTTGCCATGTTTTGCCCAATGACAGCTGTCACGGGGATAGCAGCCCACCCACTGTGGAGTGTGGACTAGAACAGGTGGCAGGAGTCAGTTCCCCTCCCTGTTCATTATTTCTGTTTCTCACAGTGAGTTTGACTTTAAAAAATACTCTGTCCAACACTGAAGCCTGTCTCTCAGGCTGAGGACACCTGAGTGACAGGTGCCAGTGACTTTCCAAGTAATATCCTAATCATCCAGACAGCAATGTGGGATGGTCTCCTACAGTTTGCTTTGTAAGAGCTTTGTCTCTAATGATACATGTAGATGCAGTAGTCTAACCACATGGTGTTTAAGGCTTCCACAGTTTGCCTCCTACATTAATGAAAATTAATTAAAACTTTCTGTAACTAGTCCCTGATTTTATGCATTTATTGTATTTTTTCAGTCTTTCAGAAGACTGAAGGGCTGAATTTTACAGAGATGAGTATCATGTAACACTCCTCACACAATGGAGTCTGAATGGGTAAGAGAGCAAAGCAGGGTGTGCTGAATGCTTGTGAGGGGCACCTAGCAGAGGGAGGCTGGAGCAGGGGTGACAATTTGTGAGCTCCTAGGTCCATTGCATAACTTGTTTATACCCTCCTCCAGAGTGGTCTGGTCTCAGTCTCCCACTACTGACCCAAGAAGCAGCAGTCAAATCCCTCCACCAACATCTTCCCACCTTGTTGGCAGCAGCAGCTGAGGAGGAGCTGGTCTTAGAGTAGTGGAAGGTGCAGAACCTGTGTGCACCACTGAGGCTCTGGGTGATGCTGAAGGAGAGAGAGGAAAGGAGAAATCCTCATGCTGCCAGACTCAGAAGCTGGCACCAGAGGAGGTGCAAGTAGCAGTTCTGGGCTTAGGGGTATTGGTATCACGATAGAAAGGGGAACCCAGTGCTTCAGACTCTCTCCTACCGCTGCAGTCATTCATCTGTCTGCAGTGCTGGTGGGCAAACAGGGATGTTCAGCTGCTCGGAAAGAATTTACTGTTCAATTTACTTCCTCCAAAGACAGGTTTTTGGCCAGATGAAGCATCCCTACTTGGATTCAGCAAACTAGGTCAGCAGCTGGACCACATGAATAGTTGTACTCAGGGAAGATTTGTCTGCAACTCTTAAAACTTACGAGTAGGATTGTTTTATCCCTGCCTTGATTAAATATAGGAGCTAAATGGCAAGGGTGTTTGGTATGGAAGAATTGCTTTTGATAGAAGCACAAACCAAATCTATAAAAATGAACAAGAGTGTTCAGAGAGCAATTAAGAAAAAAAAGGAAAAAGCAAAACTAGATACTATACCCAAAATGTCCCTGATCTCAGTTATTCTCTACTACAACACTTGGAGGAGTCAAAGGAATGCCATTTATCTGGCAAAGATAAACAGAAGACTGGAAAAGCAGTATCAAGTAGTTCAAGAATTACAGACTGAGGGAAAAGAAAGAGGGAGAAAGGAAAATAAAGTAATTTAGGATACAAATGTGAGCTCTGTTATACACTGTCACAAAAACCTTTATTATAAATCCTCTGCTTACACAAGAGGCAGTGACAAGTCTGTTTTACCAAAAGCAGAACTTGGAATGCTGTTACCTTTCAGCAAGAAATAAAAATGTAAACAGAATTTGGCACCTGCCAGTAATAATTTATAGCATTAGTACCTGAAAAAACATGCTACCTCTTTCCTGGAAATGAACAAGGAAGTTGCTGTCATGTTGCTTCCTCCCACACAGAAAAATGTTTGATAATATTGCCTATAGCCATGGTGAAGCACTAAGAAGTATATCCAAGTCACTTGGGCAATTAAAATTTTCTCAAGCCCTTGCACAGAATGTAGACCACCCTGCTGGTAGGTGAACTACTCAATTGGGACTCCCAAGAAACTGAAGGAGAATATGGACCTTTGTAGGCCAAGTGTATTGCAATAACACCTTTTGCCCATCCAGTAATAAATGTGTAAAATCAGGAGTCAATGATCTTACATGCTAGGAAGAGCTAGTAAGAACCCCTAGGACCTTACTGGAGAAGATTTGATTAGGTTATAGGAGTAGCTGTGACTCAATTGGTGCAGAACTTCTTCCCTGACGATTGCTTTCCAGTTAAAAATTACCTCAAAATCTTCAGAGTCAATTTGAAGTGAATCCCAGAGAATTGTGAACAGCTTTTCTTAAAATGGAACCTAAATTGAATGGACATTAATTAGAAGCCAAATTCATAGTGTGCTAATTATTAAAGAATATATCTGAAATAAAATACTAAATATCAGTTAAGGCCAGTAGATAAACACACATTGAGTGCTATTTCCGACAGTTAAGCTGCTCAAGGAATTGTCATCAGTAACAAAGAGGCAGAAAACCTAACAGTTGTTATGTCCCAGGCTTCAGACCTGTCTGACCAAGCTGTATCTTGTTCTCTCACCTGAAGATCCAAATAAAAGAATCCAATGTTAAAGAGTTTAAGTGCTGAACTCCTGAACCCCTCACTGCATTTGTCCCAGCCGCTTTATTCTGAGCCACCACAGCAGAGTTGTCAGGCTGACCAATGCACTAAATAAATGAGAGGTTTTGCTGTACCCTGTAGCAAAGTGGCAGCAGAAGAACCCATCAGCAGAATGGGACCATCATCATCACCATCGTCGCCCACAACGAAGGTCTTGCGTCGCTACCAACAGCCTCTGTGTGCTTGTGGTTGATGTGCTGACGGGAAAGCAGCACATGAATATTGTTATTAATTCAGAAGAATTCCTCTACAGTCCTCATGAGTCACTATAATTATTTTTTTGTTTCTGTGGTTTTAGGCTCTGCAACTTATTGAAGGCTGAGCTTTCTGATGCAGCACGAATTTACCATGACACTTGTACTTACTTGCTATGCATTGTTATTTGCAGAGACAGCACTGGGTTTAGTTTACATGGTTCACATGAAGTTGCACAAATTCAAACAAAAACCTCTGCACAGGATGACATAACAGCTGATCATGGGAGCTGCTCTTCAAAGTGACATTCTGCAAGCATCAGCTGCAGCTTCAGTCTTTCCTGAGTCCATCAGCAAGGGCTTGGTCACATTTGCAGGCTCAGATCTGCTACTCCACTGCTGTTATTTAGTACAAAACTTACTCATCAAAGACCTTGCACTCTTACAAGCAAGCATACTCTGTTGTTACACATTCACAAATAATTTTCTCATGTGCCCTTTTCTTAATAGGGGTTTGGATTTTTCCCAGTGTTTTGCAATAATTTGGCATAATTTAAAGAGAAGTGAAGTCAGCATGTTTGTTCACCATTTTAATAATGCATCTGCCCATTACATCTTCCTCTCCTAACTTCACTGTGATACTCCTAGTGGGTTAGGCCTGCCCTTTCAGATCTGGAATGCTAATTGCATTTAAAAAGTAGGAGTACCCATTGATTGGTTTGACACAGAGATTTCTGTGTTTTCATGTGCAAATTCTTGTTGATAGTGTTCTATACAGTGTTTCAGAGTGCTAACAGTGTCCATATAAAGTAAAGTGAAACCAGTCTTACTAGCAGACTCACCTGTAATCATGGAATCTCAGCCAGGGGAAAGAAGGGTAGGGTAGGCAGGCTCTCTTGGATAAAATTGGCAGCACAGCTTCTTCTGTAATCACTACTGTGGAAGCAGAACAAATCCTGCAGGTGCCACCAAAATATGAGGCCATATAGCAAAGACAGGAGAGAAAAAAGTTGGTCTGCCACCTTTAAAAGGAAGATGTGAACAAAATTAATCTAGTAACAGCAACCACGTTTTATTTTCTAAAGGGAATAAAGAACTAGGATAAATGATCCCAGAATGAAACCAGTGGGATTAAATTAATTTAGTTCTTAATGTGCATATAGAAGGAAACCAGAGATGAGACAAATTAATGTAGAGAAGGGAATAGAGTGCTGGCTAGCTGCAGATAAGCAGGATGTTGTCACTATTATTTAATCTATGCATTAAGTAATCTCTACTCATTTACAGTCTACTTCAGTACTCCTGTGTCTAAACAGGTTATTAAAGTTCTACAGATGTTCATACAGACATTGTCCAGGGGGAAGCAGTACAGGAACTAATACCTTGCTCTAGTAAAACTCCGGTGTTTTCCCAGAACGTGATATTAAGGAACTGCTTTTGTGATTTTGAGGTAATTTTTGTGACTGACAAACAGGAGGGTAGTTCCATTCCTACTTTAGGCTATAGCATGAAATAGCTGGTTTTACAAATTATTCAATCCTTACTATATCATCCATGTACTGTTTAAATACCTAGCAGTTCATAAAGGAAGCTGCCATGAGAAAGGAAAATGTGGGTAATATTTCTTATGGAAATCAGTATAATCTGCTCAGGGCTGTGTTCCTTTTTCATAAGAAATGATTTATTGGTTTAGTCTGCTGTCAAAGTTGAACAATGGTAGAAACTGAAAAACATCTCAGAGCAAAAGCACAATTTCAAATAGTAAAGGAGGTTATTTTTCACAGTGATGCTTTGTTCATAAAGTAAACCTCCAGTGAGTAAATTACAACAGAATCTGGTCCTATAGCTATTCCAATAATTTTGTTCTCTGACAGTTTCACACAGCAGGAGGGAAGTAAAATGAGTAAACTATGTCCAGAAGACTCTGATGGATAACTATGTATTCTTGCTAGTTACTGGAAAAGTAATATCCAAAATAATAAACTCATGGTCATCCTTTTATCAGCCCTTTCACCCCCCATAGCCCCCCTGCCATTACTCCTAAACTAG